ACTTCAAAAGTTTTTTTTCTCTTAATTAATTGGCCTCTCAGAGGTGGTAAGACAACTCCCACCTATTTATGCTCTCAAGAAGTGGGCTGTAGTCCACGAAAGCTTATGCTCTAATAAATTTGTTAGTCTCTAAGGTGCCACAAGTCCTCCTGTTCTTCTTTTTTCTCTGATTAAAAGGTAGCACTCGGCCCATGCACTCCAGGGAGATTTCCTGGAACGTGCCAGGCCAAGGACCACTCGTGGGTCATCTTACCTACTATGGGGCTCCCCGCAAAGGATGGTATGAGTATGCAAGTTCTGGCTGCTTGTATTATCTAGATCTAGTTTGCTATGTTGTAGCGTTTGTGATAGTGCTGATTGTGCTAATAAAACTTTTGCAAATTCAAAAGGTCTTCCCTAAGTATGAGTGTCTCTCCCACATATACCAGGGCCCTCACTCTGAAATTAATTATCATACTGTGATGGATCTAGAGGCAAGCAAACACTGCCAAACCATGGAATGTTAAATTGGGAAATCAAAATAATACCTAACCAATAGATCAGGCAACGGATGTCAGGTTTTAGAACCCTAGAGACGCTGAGCAGTTTTACTGACTCATCTGGGAGGCCAGATCAGTTGAGTCCTACTAGCTCCATTCCAGAATATGAAAGGGCTTGAGCCTCTTCTCAGAAGAAGAAGTAGGGGTCGGGGTAGAGAGATCCTGCAGGGGGAAAAAACAGTCAAGCTCAGGAGAAAACTTAGGCTGATGGTTATTCTTTGTTAATTAAGTTCACAATAAAGGTAAACCCAGGAAGAGGGTAACTTTGGACCAAAGCCAGGGTGTTAGGAGCAGGGTGGGGAATGCCACTGTCTAGCAGGCTGAAAACCAGAGAACAGCTAGCTGCTCCTTGTTACATGTAGAGACTCAAGGAATCCTTGGGTATATGTTCAGCAATAACCTTAACTCTGACCCCTCCTCGTTAATCTGAAATCTTAAAGCGCCCAAAAATGTAGTGTTCCCATTATCCTATCAGTCCAGACCCCCAGATAGGTGCAACCTTTCCCTGGATGCTTTATGTAGCAAATCAAGCACCCCGCCTCTTTCATTTCATGACCTTTGTCATGAGG